CGCTCCACTCCGCTTCGTTCCGCTTCGCGCCGACCGCTCGTTCCTGCCCATATTTTTCACGACGCGTACAGGACAGGACCCATAGCAGGCACACGTGTCCCGGACACTTCATGGTCCCAGACAGTCGGTGAAACGTGGCGTGAATAACAAACCGTGGGAAGGGGGAGCAGGTATCAGGGGGAGCAGAAGCTACTCCGTTCGTTCTTTCTCCCTCTCGATGCGCGAAGAGGGGCAGGATGCGTGGATCGAATTAGAAGCCGCTTCGCAGAAAGAAAGGACTCGCAGCGCGTTCGTTGTTTAGCGGGCCGCGCGCTTATTGCTCGTTTCCGGTACGCGACACCCACGCTCTCCCCTATAATACAATTTCCGGATTTCCATGCCTCCCGAAAATTCTTCCTGCCCGAGCGGATTCTCGTCCGAAATTCTCGAACGTTTCTGGCTGCGAAGACGCATCATCGACGAAGTGTCGTTTTGAAATGTACATATATTGCACGCGTTTGCATATTTCATCAAACGTGCTAAATCGTCAGAGGGAATTCGTGTGTCCTGTTCGGAACTTTATTTTTATAATTCGACTTTTGTTTTCGACTGTTCGTTGCTCGATGCTCAGAGCAAAACGTGGCGCAGACCACAGAGTTCGCCTGAGAGAAGTAAAACGAAGCTCACGAAACCAGATGGCGCGTTATCAGAAAATTGTTCAAACAACGTGCATAATTGATATCGGATCGAGACCCTCGAACGATGTGCGTCAGGTAGTCGAAGCATCTGTACAAATGATATATATTTGCGAAACGATGTATATATTTGCGAGCATCTACGTTGACTCGCGACACGGAAGTGAATTTTCGTCGATTAACCGGCCACGACCACCGATACATCATCCACCCCGGATTGATTCCACTCTCACGCGCATTCCCGATTCGAATAATCGATAGTTCCCGATTAATCGCCCGTCCTGTCGGAAGGTTTATTTTTCGGCTTGGGCGATCACGTACGCCTCGAAAGCTCGATGCACCGCGTCAAAGTGAAACGGTTGTGAAAGACGCGCGCGAAACGGTATCGCTTAGGCCTGTTATCGTAAAAATCCCACTGGGGATATCCGAGTGGATTTTCAACGTGAACACGTACGTGTTCCGATTGTGATTTCAATGAAAGAGAATGTTGCGATGCAAGTCTCTCCGTTTATTTGTCCGACGCGTTGATGCATTTTTATTTGTAAAGCGATTATTTAATCTCGCTGGTACCGTTGACTCGAGTCTTTCGCCCGTGCACGAAAAGATTCGAGCAATTACGGTGAATCGTACATGCGCGCGGCCCTGTCATTAGCATTTTAAAACGCAGCCGGCCGGAGGTCGCAGTTTGACGAAAAATTTGCCACTCGACGCGACATGTGTTCGGCACGCGAGCCCTAAACGAACCATAAACCCGACGACAGGGGTCGTTCCTCGGATCGGCTGAAGGGTCAGGCCTGAAACATCTGTCGAGGGTTCGCGATCGGGGAGGGTAAACGAGCAGTGCCAATTTCGCAGAACGTTTTGCCATCGTTTTCACTCGCTTCGCTTCCACTGCCTCTCGTGTATTTTTTTCTTTCTTTCTTCTTCTATCTTTCGTCGTGGCGTAGTTGGAAGGAAATTTACGAAACGACGAGTCATCAATACGGATCGCGATTCTTTATTATTGCACAGACACGTGCAAATTTACCTGTTAGCAAATTTACCCGTCAGTCGAGTCGTGACGCGAGTTTACGGAAAAAAAAGAAACTAGTTCTTATCTCGCTGATCGAACGGCGAGCGCGTGTATTTCGAGTCGAAATCCGATGGATTTTATCGCTTATTGTTAGTCAATTTCCCAATACGAACGCCTCTTGAAAGATCTAATCGTTCGAAAATAGGATAATAAATCACGTACGAAGATTTCATAAAGATAGATACAAATTCTCCTCGATGCGATAAAAAACGTTGAACAACATAGATGATAATTTATCGAACGACTCGTGGTCTTATCAGCTTTGCTTCTGCCAATATTTGTAACAGTTCACCGCTTAACGAGACGAACGCGTGGAAAGAAAGGAAAAGTGCAAGAAGAAAAGGAGCGTAATTATGGGTCGACCGTGGTGGCTGTCGGAACGAGAGGTCAGAGCTCGTTAATAGGTTAATTTCTTGTGCGGCCGTCACGCGATTTTTTGCAGAAAGGACGTGATATTTACCAAGCCGTGATAATTGCGGTCTTTTTGATGCTCCCAAAAGTTCGGCAGCTTGAAACGGGGAGGGATTTATGAGACTGTTTGGACGAAATAACCGAGCGAAACTCTTGGGAAATTCGTCCGCTCTCTTTGGCTTCTTCCAATTTTCACGCTGGAGGAAATGATCTGCGTTATTACATTCACACTCTAAGCGCGAACACTAAAGTTTCATCAAGGCGTGATAAAAGTAGCGGAGGGTGGGAGGGGCAGAGGGGAGGGAACAAAGCACGAATGTCCAATTTCATAAGTGTTGCGTAATCTACGGCAGCCTTCCCGACAAATATTCTTCCGGGGCTGGAACTTGACAAACACTCGGTATAAGCGGCCTCGTCGTGAGGTCGTTTGCGAATCGGCCATAACTCTGGACTTGTCCTTGACTCGTTTCCGGAGCAGAGCGGAGCGGACCACGCGAGCAAGGAAATGGAAATGCATCGGCGCATTCCAAATTTTCCAGGTCGTCGCTGGCTCACCGTGGGCGTGCGTGTGTACGTGTGTATGTGTGGATGCGCCAACACTCGCGCGCACCCTGTACTCAGGGCCGACGCTGTTGAGAGATACAATAGAAAAATGGGAGTTTCCCCGAGACAATGGGGAATACTCTCCTTTGTAGCGCGAATCGAAGCTTCCCCCCTTGTTTCTCCTCCATTCCTTCTCCCTCTCTCCTCTGCCCCCTGTCTCTCTCTCTCTCTCTCTCTCTCTCTTGCCCGTTACAAGTCATCCGTCTTTTTCTTTCTCTCCGTCTGCTGCGAGCACTTGTCGCGAGCTATCCTCTTTAAAGTCCTCCACGGGATCGAAAGACACGGACCGGCAGACGTGACAATTAGACGTTCCGATGTCTGCTTATGCATTCGTCGGGTTCTTCCCACCGCTCGGAGAAGATGATCCCACCGCCGTTCCAAAGAAATCAAGGGCAAACAAAGCACGAGCTGTCGGCGGCTCGAGCACGGCAGCGCTCCTAATCGCGGATCAGAGCTCGCAGTCGTCTCGCGAGCGAAGATTCCAGCGAAAGAAGCATCTGCATACAAGAGACGAGAGACGTACGACGGTTTATTGATTCTCAGGCACTCCACCAGGCTGCCGCGAGCGCGGAGCAACGCGAAGGAATTACATCGCGAGAAACACCTATAGCGGCGTAATTAATTTCTCAGCGGCAACGGCGTCTTCATTTCCATTCGATTAATTCGCAACCGAGAGTCTTATATGACTCGCGTGATTCGGCGTGGTCCGGGTCAACGATTGCATATGCAGTTATCCGTTGTTAACGCGTGCCCGTTATTGTTTTCATCGCTATGCGCTGAATCATTTATTTCGCCGGTTTATCGGATCGTATGAATTATTCTCTCTGGCTATACTCGCTCGCTACAACGTCGCGCATCGTGAAACGTGCGTAATGTCGTCCCTTCTATCGCCGCGTATCGTATTTGTCGATCGCCTACCGTGCTACGTTTCTCTCCTTGTTGGCCCTTGTACAGCAAACGCTTCTACCATTCACTGGCCTAGTGTGGTTCGATAGGATTTCGAAAGCTCCTCGACGATGAATCGCAATCGACATCGATCGCGCGCTCGTGCTACTGCAGTGTCAGATGTTGAGCATCGCTAATGTTAATGAAGAGCGTTACATAAGCGTCGGGATCAATACGGAGCAACGTGCCATTTACCAGCAGTTGAAAAGCAAGGTTGACGAGTGCGAGAGAGAGTCGCTAGCTTCTTGGTTTCCCGGAACTCGAGAGAGTTCTAGCTTTCGACGCGACGACTCGTCTTCGGCAAAATAGCAGATTTTTGAAAAACTTTGCTGCGATGATGAGTAAGAAATCTAATCGCAGGCAGAGATAACGGCTTGAACATACATTCGGGAAAGCGATTGGACCGCGAACATGAAAATATACTGTTGCAAGAGTGTTTTAGAAAAAATGCACGCTATAAACAAGGATACAATGTTTCGTATTTTTTATTCAAATTGAAGTGATCAATTCGGTGATGATGAAAAATTCAGTTAGTTCTTTGTTAGAAATTTAAGGAAAAGATGACGAGCGTGTCGTTCGTTGTTATCAACGCTCGATGAGTCCGCGTGCGTGGTTACTCATCGACGATAAGGAAGTTAATCCCAAGAGTGTCGCGAATGATTTTTTTGCTTTCGTATCCGATTTTTTGTGAAACTGATGCGGGATGCCTATTAGTGCAACGTGGCAAAAGTTGAGAGTTTTTATTAAAATACCATACAAAATCTGAAACGATTAGAAGCTTTATCGTGTGTTTAATAATTACAGAATTGGAATTACAACTACACGATAATTGCACTTGATCGGAACGTATTAATTTAAGCCTCGCAATATCTATCACGTTTGATCATACACTGATCATGTATATAAATCGTTGACGTTCGTGGCAATCTTAAAGACAAGTAATAAACGAGTAAAAAAACTTAACAGCTTTCCCGTCGAGTTTGGCACTGAAGTAGCTTTTGAAACAGCAGGAACATTGATATTGGCGATAAAATGATTATTTGATCAACGACTCTTGATCAACGTTCGCGAAAGTTTGGCACCTATTACATATCACACACTTGCGACGAGGGTGACATAATTCGAAAGACGACTTTACTTTCGAGTTATCTATCACTGTGAGAATGTTTGCAGAGATATTTTTAAAAAAATCTAATTTGTCTTTATAATTTAGCTGGCAAAGTTGTATCATGTCGTTCATCTTGATTCGTATAATATGTTGCATTCTATAAATATAGTGCCAGTCATATTGCTTTCTTTTTTTTTATACACATACATTTCTTGTCAAAACCTTCAGTCGGTGAAGCAGTTTAGTTTATAATATCGTAATAATATTATAATGATGAAAATGACGGTTTCAATAATAAAAAGGTGACTAAAGTGATTTTGAACGAAAAGTGATTTGTACTGGCTGACTGATGAAACCTCCAAATGTTTCTTGTTCTGACTTTTGTCCTTTCGAATTGCACAAAATAACTTGTGATTGTAGAAGACGGTCTTTCGCTTTTTCTGGAAATATACTTTCCCAAGTTGTGCCACTTTCGTCACAAGTGTGTCATTTACTGACGTGACTCGTTGTCTCCGTTCGTTTATTTATATTCATGAGCAATAATGATGTCTATAATTCCTTGGTCCCATCCACACATCAAATCACGCTTATTACGAAAACCAAGCAGAAATATATCGATTGGTTAATTTTTAAGCATCGTTCGTGACTTTTTTCGCTTTCATCAGTCTTACGTTTGATTTTAATTGAATGACACAAAGACAAGGAGGGAATGTATGGCATCGATCTAGCCGACATTTTTTTTTCACAACTAAACCAAGGTACGAACCCTGGTTATGCACTTCGCTTTGATTCTAGAGGACGTCAAACACAATATAAAAACACAAGGTTCCTTAGCTGAAAATGATAAGAAATTGTATCAGTGGCTCGTGGACTCGAAACGTCACTCGTGAAACGCCCTAGGATATCTGTATTTTTTACTACAGATAAACCATTTCATAGGAATTCGATGGATTTTGCCCGAAATCCTGAAATGTTCGGCTTTCGCCGATATCGCGTTCAAATACTTGGACATCTTATCGTAAAAGGAGAAACCTCCGATCGTTAACCGCATCGACGCTATCCGTCGAACACGCTCGATCGACTAGATTCATTGATAGACATTTTTGTTTCCTCTCCTCTACTTTTGATTCTGAAGCTTCGACTGTAGATCCGCGTTGATGGATTCAGTCGAGTTAGGATATAATTTACGATCGTTTCTAACGTGCATATCGTCGCCACCGTTGCTCTTGTCCAAGTAAATCAGTTCTGATTTGTCCGCGGGAGCCAATATCTCTTGCTTGACATTCTGTAAACGAAATCGTCACAGTTATACTTTTAATCTGTTAATTCAATAACTACAGATGAACATAAAGTATACACGCTTGCGTTAATTAAATATAATATTATTAATATTTAATACAATATAATATTGAAAAATATGAATATCAAACGACATTTATTAATATTTAAAAATATAATATTTATTAATATTTAATTAAATTCTAACGTCATGATTAGATTGTACATTTTTATGCAAATTCATATTTTTTGGAGTAAATATAATTTAAGAGAGTAAAATTTTAATAAATTGTGTCACATAGCCAGCATTATAGAAACTAATATACTTTAGATATTTTACATATTTTTTTCGTGTTATATCTGTGCAGTGTTTTGTTTTCAAAGTTCTAGTTAATTTGTGCAACAAATTCATTGATATTCTGGTTTTTACAAATTCATTCTAAACATTGGTGTTATTGAATTTAAATATTTATTTCTTTATAAAAAAAAAGAGAAAAATCATGGAAAAATCATAAATTAGAATTTAATTTATTCTTGTTGCCAGAAAAAATATTACTGACCTGTTGCTGCACACTAGAAAAAAATATTCTACCTCAAAATAAATATTGGAATTACATTGTTAGCAACTTACTACATGCTAATTTTAGATTTATGCAATTTAAGATTTTTCTCAAATCTTAAATTTATAAATTCTAAAGTCCTTAATTTACGAATACTTTCAACAAATTTTAACTAAAATTTCCATGTAAATAGCAAAATGCAATGTTTTATCTTGCATAACGAGTATGTGCTGATTGAACACAAATAGAGGTTTAAGCTTAAAGTTCCGAACGATTGAAATTCAGATTAATCGTCGATTACCTTGTCGGTAGTCATAGAGTTTGCGCGTTGTTTGTTCAAAAGATATAACACCGCAACCATGAAGACCATGAGTGACCCCACAAGGATCATAACCACGCCAGCGTATATGATTACGTTCGGCAAAGATAAAAGTTTTTTCAATCCGTCGACAAATTCGTCAGGCGCGTCGACATCCAATGCGAACCACATCACTGGGAAGTAAACGTTTGGTACGGATTTGAAAAGCCTGGAATAAGAATCGATCTCGTTAAATCTGTTCCTTCTTCGGTTAAAAAAAAAAAAAAAGAAAAAAAAAAAAAAAAAAAAAAAAACGTTG